ACTAGTTAACCTCTGCATATCCCCCGTTGCAAGCTACCCACATTTATACTTACTTATCGTGCACTTTCTTTAGGATTACACTGGCTACCTAATGGTCATACACCATTCACCCGCCGCCGGTCTTCAAACACTGTTTTCCATTTCCCAGGCAATATTTGCATCATACTAAACTAATATTTTGTGAAGTGATTACTGTTACCACGCTCTTGTTCGCTCTGTGGATAATAGTAATGTACCCATACGGCCATTGTTTTTGTAGCACGTTCAAAAGACACGCTCAGCATAAACCTTGTTGCGCTTGTGCATCGTTTTGGCACAACCCTAAGAGTTTTACTACACGATTTTGGCGATGTTTGATGCTACGCCTGTTCTTTGCCGTCTTCTCCAGGTTGCCCCTCACTTTCCGTTTGCTCTGAGGTCCGGAACTTTTAGGGGATCTAGGATTAGACTGAGAAAAAGCGTTTCCGCCCGAGACAGTACACAATAACCGACAATGATCTGTCTGCACAACGGAAGTACACCAAATGTAGTGAACGGCAATTACCACCACAACCGTTGTCCACGGTGAATAAATGGACACACGCTAAAATTATACATGGTATAAAAAATTCCGGAATTTTGAAGTGTTACTCAGTTGGACACGCAGCAATACGCCTATTCATAATGTACAAATCGTCAACTGGCCTCAACGGCCGGCGTCGCTGACCAAGCCAACTGAAAAAATGTAAGCCATTCGATTGCGATTGATCGAGAATGAAATCAATCGGAAGGCTGCTTGCTTAGTTTTACCGTGGTGTTGAAAGGATTTACGCCGTGTTCCAAGACGTGGTCGGATTTTGCCGGAAAGGCCTTCTTACTACAATAAGTCACAAATGTTCTATTAACAACAATACGACGTAGCGGATGCGACTCGCCACCGAATAAAGGCAATGATCGCAACTACTTACTAGCAAGTCGACTAGAGTAGAAGTGTTTAGAGAGTTGCCTGTACCGGGAGCCCAGAGAGATTCGAGAAGACGGATCGAGTTGCAGGGAAACTTTTATTGGTACAGTAAAAGATTCTCTGTTATCTAGCTATAAAAGAACGACACCGTGGACGCTCTAGCTAGGGGAATGGAGCACACAGTACACAGGGCAGTTGCGATTTGCAACCGAAACGAGTGCCAAGCAACAATGGCGATGAGCATGTAAAGCATTCGCACTCAGGAAGCATTTCAACAAACCACACCGGTTGCCTAGGTGTACAATTATAGAATTTTGGTTAGAATTTTACTCAGGCAAACCGGGAAATCCCCAGACTGCTACATAGCCCTCTCCCAGAAGGGAGTGTGTAGGCAGTCCTTTGATCTACGTG